GGCCGGGAGTGGGAGGGGGCATTGTCCCAGCCTATCCCCAGGCTGGTGTGGAGGGGAGTCACATAGCCAATGTCCTCCCTGTCCCCCAGTGTCATTCCTCACCAGTTGCCCTGCCTATACCATTCTGCCTGATGGCTGTTTGGTGTGGATGATCTGTTCAGGATTAATATTTAGGCAATTAGAACTGGAAAAGGTTTGTCAATATCTTGCCTGAATGAACACTGTGGCCCTGACTTGGCAAAACACCAAAGGATATGCTTAATTAAATCCTCGCTGCCAACTTTTTTGTAATGCGGTATGACTAGTTCCTCCCCCCAGAGAAGTGAACTTTCAGCAGCTACCACTGGCTTCACTGGGAGTTGATTAATATTTAGGCAATTAGAACTGGAAAAGGTTTGTCAATATCTTGCCTGAATGAACACTGTGGCCCTGACTTGGCAAAACACCAAAGGATATGCTTAATTAAATCCTCGCTGCCAACTTTTTTGTAATGCGGTATGACTAGTTCCTCCCCCCAGAGAAGTGAACTTTCAGCAGCTACCACTGGCTTCACTGGGAGTTGTTTTTAGAATCTTGCTCATGTCCATGTCACAATGGGTGTGCATGCTCACCATGTGTGCTGTTGCCAGAAGTTTTTCTCCTAGCAGTACCCATAGGGAAATGCCTCTGGTAACTTTCCCATCTCCAGGTGCCACTCTGAAATATAAGGGGCACTGCATTCCCCTCCCCCCCACACCATCTGTTCCTTCTTGCTGCCAGTGAATGTGCATCAGAACAGCTCTGCTCTGGCCTTGGCTTTTGCTTCTCCCCATTGCTAATTTTCTGCGTAGTGTAGTTTAGTTTGTTTCCTTCGGGACTTTGCCCCGACATGGACGTGCCCCGTTCTTTGAGGTTTAAACCTTGCAAATCATGCTACTATTCCATGCCCATCAGTGACCTGCCTAGAAGCTGCCTGCGTTGTCTCAGTGAAGCTCTTATCAGTGACAGGTGGAAAATCTGTCCATTAAGCACAGGACTAAGGAGTGGAACATTCAACTTAGACCGACCCTTTTATGGAGTCAGCTCTAACTTCAGCACTGGCACACCGCTTGGAGTCTGCAGGGCACTGAACAATCAATGTGTGATGCTCAGTTGGTGCTGTTGACTAGTCGGCACCACTCCCCCCTCCAACCATTAGTCAAGAAGCCAGGGAGGATGGCAAAGGGACGTTCCCCGAGTTCTGTAAAAAAGGAGACAAGACATCAGAGCACACACCTATGTTGAATGGCTGTTGGTCTCCATGAGTCTCATGGGGCCTCATTCAGGCAGAATACCCCAGCTCATTCTATTTCTCCTTTGCCAAACAGTGAAACTTTGAGTCACATTCAGACACTCTCCATGCTGGAGGCAGGAGCAACCACCTCGAGTGGGTCCCTTGGCAGCACTGCCACTGTACCCAGCAACATGGTCCCTGGTTAGCCCTGTAATACCAATAGCCCTCTTGGAGTCTGGCCTGCCCATGTCACATGATCCAATCGATTGCTGGGGTCTCAGGCATGCAGCTCCCTCTCCACAACCCTGTGTGGTGCCCTAAATGATGGGTTCACCATGAGCACTGGTGCCAAGCAGGGATGTAAGTGACTAATCAATTATCTGATAAGAAAGAGCTTATTGGATAGTTGACAAACTAGTTGACTAGTCCCTCCCCCGCCCTTGCTGCCTCTGATAGAGGCAGCAAAGGGTGGGGAAGAAGGGTGTGCTTGGGGGCAGCTGGCTTAAAGCCGGTTCTCCTCAGCTTCAGCTTTGTGGAGGGGGCAGGGGTGCAGCAGCGGTGTGCCACATTTGAAATGTACAAGAGTCCCCACTGGGCTCCACGCAGTATTTCAGTTTTTGAAATGCACAAGAAATCCTTCTGGGGCTCTTGTACATTTCAAAGGCAGAACGCTGCTTAGCGTTTGCACCTTTGAAATGTAGCAGCAGCTGGGCAAGCTCTTGCTACATTTCAAAGCAGAAGCACCCTTATCAACTAATCAAATAGTTGATGGAAATTCCATTGACTAGTTGATTACAGGCAGTCCCTGGG